CCGGCCGTCCTCCGGCCCTTCGTATTCGCTGTGTGAGGCGATCAGACGTGAGCGTTTTCAGCAAGCCTCCGGAAAGGCCCTCCTCTCCCCCAGCTCTGCCGTCAGCCCCCTCCTCCCGCCCCCAGAAAGTGTTCGCCCCGGAGAAATTTAGCTCGGGCTGGCCTTCGGGCAGCTCGACGATGCCAGTTTTATCTGAACGTTTCTAGTCGGTTTTGCAGTCTTAATCGCCCTTCTCGCCCTACAATGTAAAAATACAATGTTACTACTTTACCCTAAGGAAGATGAGGAGGGGGGAAAGTGAAATTAAAATGGCCAGGTCACCTGCGCCGCTGTCTTGTCACGTAAGAGGAGGGGTAAGTAGAAGAGTAATCCAAAATGGTTATACAGTCGTCTGGGTGAAAACAAGAAGAAACGCAGGCTCTCACCAAAACCGTAACCCCGAGCTACTTCCAGGAGACACCCAGTGTGGATTTCAGTGTTCATTTTGTCACCCAGCTGTGTTGTCTTTATAATTGCTTTTAGATCCGAGAATTTGGTAGGTGCACAGAAGCTGTTGTGCTACACAAATGTTAGAAGAATTATTTTTAAATTTATGAGTCTGTTAAACCATACATTCTTCAGCAGTAAGGTCTTGTCTGGCATCCCTAAGCTATACAAACTGTAGTATGTGCAGAATGCATTGTATTTGGATAGATTTAAGTAGAACGTAAAATGTTGACTTTACCTATTTAGCCGTAAACTGCCATTTTAAAGAGTTTTATGACTGTTAAGAGTAAACAGATATAATGAGTTATGACGTTAAGAGTGAAGAAGAGCTGTCCCATCAGCTTTGGAGACCATGCTGCTCAGTGGAGAGCCTCCATATGCAAGTGGTGCTTTGCTCTAGCTGGTTGTAATGTGACGTTCTCCAACTTGTGCTGTTCCTAATTTGCTTGTAATTTGCTGGGTGTGGAGAGCTCACCAAGGGCCAAAGCTTTTTGCTGGAATATTCTTGAGGTAAACCATTTCTCTTTGTTCTCAAAATTCCGTTTTCTAGATTTGGGCTGTTAGCAGCCTAGTTCTTCCAACATGTACCGTGACTCATATTTAAAGATAATTCTCACTACTCTTTGTGAACAATGAAATGTTCCATCTAAGTCTGTAGTTTTCAACATTAGGTATATATAAGAAAAGTTTTGTTTCATGAAGGTGTTCTGGAGAATGATTAATTGTGTGGTGTGCTTTGAACAGATTACGTTACCTCCACAGACTACTGTTTTGACCGCATATATTATTTTTGAAAGCAGTTGCATAGCTTGGGTGATGCCATTATAGCTACAAATTGTGATGCTATAGTCATTATTTAATCATCAGAATTAATTATTTATATTGTTCTTCACTGTTTCTTTTAAATGTTGGGGTTTTGAAATTTGGTAAGTAAACACCATGTTGTCATACAACCCTGAGTTTTGAAGGAAGATTTTTACATTGTGGAATATATTCTGCAAGCCATTTTTGCTAACAGAAAATGCCTGTGGTATTGAAAAAATGTCACGTAATGTGCTTTGCCTTGGAAGCTACAGCTCCTGCTTTCTAATTTTAGCTTTGTACTGTCTCTCTGGATTTTCTTAGGGAAGAATCCTCAGGTTCAAGACATAGCTCATTTTAAAAGTGCCTGATAGGGCCCTGATTTTGCACTGAAGTTAGCAAAGGAGTCGCGATGACTGGCAGTTTCCAGAAACTGGAATCTGGAGCCATAGTTTCCATATATTCAGATCCATTTACTTTTAAAATTGTGAGTACACAGCCCCTGTAAAAATCAAGGACATTCAGTAACAAGCATCTCAACACTAGTGGTCATTTTTAAAGAGTATAGGCTTTAGCCATACTGTTGGAGTATCACAAACAGGCATTATCTATGGACCTTAAACTGGACATATACAATGTTAAGTAATTATGTATGTTAAATATGTTAAATGTTTAAATATGTTAAAAATAATAAACAGTTGACCTGAATAGCCCCTTTCAGGACTTGCTGGCTTCCCCATGACGAGCATAACTCTTTGTGTTACAGAAGTTAAGGTCTAAAACGCTTAACATCGAAAAACTGTTAGTATCCATACATTATTGCTAACAGAAATACTATGCATCTCTACGTGGACAGGATACTGTAGCTATGAGAGGTGGATTCTAATCCTGGCTCTGATACTGACAAATTTGCCCTAATAGTTTCAGTTTTCTATGTCGGTTTCCCTTTTTGTCTGTCTTCAGAGCAGATCAGACTCATGGTATATTCTTACAGCATCTGGTATCAGCTTGGTCGTCTCCAGTATTGTTGCCAGGGCATTTCAGTAAGTTGCAGTGAGTGCCTCTCCATCAAGGGAAATGCATTTGCTGTAGTTCTAAAATTACTTTACAAGAAGTCCCAACACGGGGGTTTCTCTTCTTTCTCTTGCCTGTACTCTGCACAAATGCCTCAGGTTTCCATTTCATCTCTCTCTTAATGCCATACAAAAGCATTAATAGTCCTGTTCCTTGTGTCACTCCTTAGATGTTACATACTTAAAACAAATGGACATAATAGGTCATCAGACCAGTTTGGTTTATATTAAATATATTAATATATAAATATTAATATATAGTATCACATTTTGATAATTTTTGAGAGTAAAATACAGTTGTTGTAGGAACTTTGCTCGTTGGAGCTTCTAGAACTAAACTGAACAAAGATCATGGAGAATAATCCTTCATCAGCCAGGCAGTGAACTGAGTGATCTCTAAAAGGTCTTTTTCATCGCTTCATCCTGTTGTTTGGTCCCGAGAAG